GTATTGATACCTCGTGCCTGTCATGACTTTTGCATGAATCTTTTTCTTTCGCCGCGATGTTTACATTTGGCCTTGTTGATGACGCGCGTGCGGTAAAATTACATCACTGATCTGGGTCAATTGAGAGTTTTAGACTGTCAGGTGACGATTTAGGATTTCTTTAATATAATTATATTTTTTACTCTTAGGGAGCGAATTTCAGCAAACTTTGAATCGGTATATTTCATAAGAAGGTATTTTAAACATGTGTATGCCATTTTAGCAAATATGACGTTTTCCCCCCGATCAGCCCCTTTAAATTTCTAATAAGTTTAAAAAAATTGCTAGACAGTCGCTCTATTAATTAAAACACAGAAGGACGAGTACGATAATATGGCTTGATATACGATACTCTTTATTCTAAAAACACAGGACACATAAGAATAAAATGAAACTCACGTCTCAGATGATAAACCCAATTTGCTTTACAATTTGGTTTCCTGTTATAAAAGCTCTAAAAGTTCATCGCAACAGGCCCTCAAAATACAGTTATTATTCTTTAATATTTGGGTTTATCATCTGGGACGTGATTTGTGTACGTTGGGTTTGGAGATGTGTGGATGTTGATGTTTTGTACTTATTCACTGTGTTTTCCCACCTTGTATATCGGTCTCTAATTCACCATACACCTACGTTAGATACTTTGAGAGTAATGCCATAATTTTTTGAGAAAAACGACGTAATTTTCTCACAAAAACTAATGACGTAACAATCAATACCTGCTCACAAGAGCAGATAACTCTGCAATACGAAAAGGCCGTAATATTTACGTTTCTGTCGTGAAGTCCTAAGATAAACCTTATAAATAACATCCTTTTTATGAATCAACCATGGCAAGAACTATTGTAATTTTCTCCAATCAGAAACCGCTCGGTTGGTTTCTGTTATACTGTTAGAGTAACAGGAACTACAGTAGTCACCTACAGTTTGAAAATTACTGTTCCCGGAAAGATCTCTCATCTACCATTTCATTTAACAGTTTGTTTAAAATGTATTTTGAGCAGAATAAATCCATTTAGAAAGATGAAATGCAATTTTCTTTGTGTTTTTTTTTAGCATAGAAAATGCTTGAACAGAAATGAGTTGGATTCCATCATTATTGTTTAAATATGCAGTTCACCCTTAAATGACAGCACTACAATTCTGGGTTAAAGAAATAATGCTTTTATATTTCAACCGCACTACACGTGTCATCAATCTGATTTAAATAGTGTGAATTGACTGTATAATTTATTATCCAATCGCGACAAGATCAGGGGGGAAAGGAGGATTGGGGTGGATAGCGATTCGTACGTAGATCGTTCGTATATTCATATTTTGTTATCTCTCTAACATCCTCATATTCCTGCACTGATTTTGATAAAACTTCATTTGTTGGTCAAATATGCGATTACATCTAACGAGTACGTGTTTCAGGGTGGCAAGCTCTAGAACACGGTCACTGTTACTATTTATAAACAAAACACTTTGTCATCGCTCTAGCTGTTTTATTTATGGAAGTATCTTGATTCAACCTTAAAATATTGGTGAAGTATTTTTGGTCTCTTGACTACCCCGAACGTGTTCGTGTTTCAAGGTTCCAAGGCCGACGTCACCGTTGACAAAATTCGTTCCAACGATCTCATTTCTGAAAGGATCTTAATAAAACTTCAGTAATTGGTTAAGTACAAGAAAATCTCGAATAGATTTGTCTTTCAATGTGCCTAGGACAAGGTCAAGGTCATTGTTATTATTTATGGAATGGTTTTTTGCTATTTCTTTAAAAAGCCTAAGGATGTGTCATCATCTTTACAGTCAAACACAGTCTCGACATTGAACTTGAATACTAATGTCCGGTATTACTTACTCATCTATAAGTCTATTGTACAACTTACCGTGTCCATTATAGCATGTGTGACTGTCATGGCTACCGTTATACATTGCTGTCTCTACTTCTTAATGGAAATAATAAGCAGACACAGCTATGTTAATTATCAGAGGACGACGTTACTCGTGCGAGCCGTATTAAAGTACTGTTACATATATAAAGTTTAATTACATTTACTATGGCTTGTTTAAGAAAGGGTTAACGTAACGCACACATAGCTGATGGCACCTTTACAGTTTGGGAATAGATACAATGTGTCAAAAAGGAACTGCACTGCATCACACAGCTGTTTTGTCCTTCTGGGGCTTATCAGTGATGCTAGGTCCAAACTGTTGGAAACCCGAATTGCCTAAATGATGTACAAACAGAGCGACAGGTGCGTATAACCTATCAATTTATGGATTTCAAAAGCTACAGTGCTGAGTAAATTCGAATTAAATCATTTATAAAGTGTGTACATTACACTTCCCAAAAAGGATAGCGGTGGTCATTCAAGGTTACGGTTTGGTTTAGTATTATTTAACGGCCTATCAACAGCTATGGTCATTTAAGGACGGCCTCCCCTGTGTGCAAGATGCATGCGTGTAGTGTACGCGTGTGTGTTTTGGAAGGCTGCAATATGTTCGTGTTTGTCTCCTTGTGATAGCGCGGAATTGATGCCGACTATATAGTGCTACTTCACTGAAACATACTACCGAAGACACCCAAACAGGACACCCCACCTGGCCACATTATACTAACAACGGGCGAACCGATCGTCCGTCTCCTAAATTGCTGAGCGTTAAGCAGGAGTAGACACTACCATTTTTACAGACTCTGGTATGTCTCGTCCAGGGGACAGAACCAAAAGGTTTCCTCACAGGGGCGAACGCTCAACTAAAGTCCAAAAGTGAGGCATTATCAAGGGAGACATTAGGAAGAAGACATTTGTTTAGAAAGAAAAGTAAAGATAAGGTCCCAATTTTAGTCGCCTCTTTCGATCATGCAATGTGGGCAGCAGGTACAATTCTTACGCCCTACCTGCAGGGAACTCAAGGTTACGGCAAACTTCGGGGACTATAAATCCACCGGCAGTATACCACCTTGTATCTTGAGAGATGAACGTACTTCGGGGACTAAACATCCAACGGCACTGTACCAATTTGTATCTTGAGAGATGAACGTACTTCGGGGACTATAAATCCACCTGCAGTATACCACCTTGTATCTTGAGAGATGAACGGACTTCGGGGACTTAACATCCACCGGCACTGTACCACCTTGTATCTTGAGAGATGAACGTACTTCGGGGACTATAAATCCACCGGCAGTATACTACCTTTTATCTTGAGAGATGACAGTACTTCGGGGACTAAACATCCACCGGCACTGTACCACATTGTATCTTAAGAGATGACCGTACTTCGGGGACTATAAATCCACCGGCAGTATACTGCCTTTTATCTTGAGAAATGACCGTACTTCGGGGACTATACATCTTGAGAGATGAATGTACTTCGGGGACTAAACATCCACCGGCACTGTACCACCTTGTATCTTGAGAGATGAACGTTCTTCGGGGACTATACATCCACCGGCAGTATACTTCCTTGTATCTTGAGAGAGGAACGTACTTCGGGGACTATAAATCCACCGGCAGTATACCATCTTGTATCTTGAGAGAGGAACGTACTTCGGGGACTATAAATCCACCGGCAGTATACCACCTTGTATCTTGAGAGATTAACGTACTTCGGGGACTATAAATCCACCGGTAGTATACCACCTTGTATCTTGAGAGATGAACGTACTTCGGGGACTAAACATCAACCGGCACTGTAACACCTTGTATCTTGAGAGATGAACGTTCTTCGTGGACTATAAATCCACCGGCAGTATACCACCTTGTATCTTGAGAGAGGAACGTACTTCGGGGACTATAAATCCACCGGCAGTATACCACCTTGTATCTTGAGAGATGAACGTACTTCGGGGACTATAAATCCACCGGCAGTATACCACCTTGTATCTTGAGAGATGAACGTACTTCGGGGACTAAACATCCACCGGCACTGTACCACCTTGTATCTTGAGAGATAACGTTCTTCGTTGACTATACATCCACCGGAAGTATACCTCCTTGTATCTTGAGAGATGAACGTACTTCGGGGACTATAAATCCACCAGCAGTATACCACCTTGTATCTTGAGAGATGAACGTACTTCAGGGACTATAAATCCACCGGCAGTATACTTCCTTGTATCTTGAGAGATGAACGTACTTCGGGGACTATAAATTCACCGGCAGTATACCACCTTGTATCTTGAGAGATGAACGTACTTCGGGGACTTAACATCCACCGGCACTGCACCACCTTGTATCTTGAGAGATAACGTTCTTCGTTGACTATACATCCACCTGAAGTATACCTCCTTGTATCTTGAGAGATGAACGTACTTCGGGGACTTAACATCCACCGGCACTGTACCACCTTGTATCTTGAGAGATGAACGTACTTCGGGGACTAAACATCCACCGGCACCGTACCACCTTGTATCTTGAGAGATGAACGCAACACACACTAGTGATTGCACCCTTAACATTGGATAAACATGTTCCTCAAGAATATAAATGTAAACTTTACGATTCCTAAAATATTTAGATACATTGTAGTAAATGTAAATGCTGTGTAATTATGTCCATGATTTCACATAGTTAAAAATTTAGAACGGTGTGCCTTTATTACATATTTTAAATGTGCATGACTTAAAAAAGTTTCATTGCGTGATTTTCTGAAATATACTTAATATTTTATTATGCACTTTGAAAAAGAAATAATGTGTTTTAACATTTATCACATATTCGTGTCCAATAGACTTAGTATAAAATGCATTTTTGGTTTAACAGTGAGTTACATCAGGACAGTTTTCTATGTTGACATAGGTGAGTAACTGTGTATACTGTAAACGACATCCAACAGTACAAGTCGAGGTCGTTCTGGTAAATATACGATAACACCTTGATAAGAGGATATCTTACCATCTAACGAATCCCGAATGACCTTTCTTACGTCCCAAGAACACAAAGGTCACGAGAATAATTCAAACTATCAAAATGAGCGACACCGGGCAGACGACTAAGACCACCACTGACCAACACGAGCCAGAGAAGAATGTCCAATCGGACTACAGCCATCTTCCGATTGACCACGGTTGGGCTTATGTTACCGTCTTTGGTAAGTTCACACATCTTTGTTATCAATATCTTTATACACGTGCTTTATACAATTATACAGCACTTTGCGGTTGAAGGTATATTGATATGCATCCGTGAGAAAGATTACAGCTATACATGGATATTGTGATATCATTAGGTACACAATACGTCGTTATTAAGGAGAAGAAACTGATACGGGATTATTTGTGAACGCATACTCGACTTTATTTTGTTGAATTTACGCAAGTAACACACAACCAACAAGTAAACGAATAATTAAAAAGTAAAACATTTATCCTGTTTGACTCCCTGCCGTTAAATGAACGCTTACATGATGTAATTAAGGATCCCCACAAGATACAAGATACAAGAAGTTTTATTTAGAGTCGTATATGGCAGAACATTTAACATTAGCTCTGTGGAGCTATTTTTACGACAAACATAAGTATAAAAACAGAGTAATAACAAGGTAAAAGGCATGCTAGTAGAAAAGGTAGGATTTGCACCACTGCTAAGGAGTTCACACACGTGTTCCTAGTGTACGTGTTCCGAGTGTAAATATTCTGCGGGGCCAGACCGGGATTTGAACCCTGGACTTCAGATTGTTACACCATCGCTGAAACCGATTGAGCTACCTGGATAACGGAAGTGTACACATTCGAATGTGCTACGGCTATACCCAAACGGAAGTTAAGGGGAGGTTACTGTAAAAAGAAAACAGAACGGCAGTGTAATGTTACAGGGATCCTTAAGTCTACTGGTCACGATCATCTAAACAATAGGATAACACGCTACTTTTCAAAGTGCATAAAGGAGTCGAAATATTTCGAAATAATTCATACAATATATATATTTAAGTATTTACACATCAAAAAGATATTATAAAAACACGACGTTTTAAGTTTTTAATATGTATGTGTGTATTACACGAACTGGCATGTATCTAACATATTTCAGGAATCATGTGCATGTATCTTTTGTTTTTAATAAAAATGCATCGTCAAAGATACAAATCCCCTTCGCCTGCTGTTAACGTTTATATAGCACCTTGTTTTCGTCTAGCACGAGCAACAGTATCCTCTTCTTATTAACATAAACGTATCTGTATATTCTTGCCATTAACAAACAGACAGCAACACGTTACACGTTGCATTCAAATGTCAAAATTGAATCGGATCTGTAAAGATGCAGGCATATGATTTATATACGTAATAACATATAGCAGATAGTTATAGCAATATTGACCTTCCTCTTAGTCAATGAAACACTTCGTCATTCGAGGTTTTCTTGTATTAATGCATGAAGTTTGATCCGAATCGTTTCAGAAATTAAATCTTTTTAGCGATGGCGAAATATTTTCCTATAAATGGATACGCTGACATTGACCCTTACATTCTAAAACACAGCCTCATTTGAAGTATTGCCATACTTAATCAAATAAATCAGTGTAGTAATTAAGTCGCTAGAACAACAAAAATATCATATTAATAGTTATAGTGACCTATACCTTGACCTTGCAATCTTAAAGACGTAGTTGGCCAAAATGGTCTTATACTTGACCAAAAAAATAAGTTTGAGCGAAATCTTTGAAAAAAAATTGAATAGACGATATACATAAGGTGATCAGACTTACAACCAACGCTAAGGAAAAATAGATTTCATTTGTTAAATCATGGTCAAAAGAACATTAATTACAGAAATAAACATCTATTATCAAAACATGGTTTCTGCTCTGTTTGGACCACGCTCCTTCTGTCATTCGTATTTCCCAAGTACAAATGATAGGAATATCTACGACAACTTTAGGCGGTTTCCTAATTTCACGATGGCCAGCCCTATAACTGCAACATCCTCCAGTTGGTGGACCCACAATTGTGATCAGTCACTGTGTGTCGCTGTATGGACTCAATTCTCTATCAATGCCAACACGACACCCTTTGTTTTTCTTTCTCACCGAGTCTGCGTATGACTGTTATTTTCCTTTCAAGTGTATCCAAACCTATTGCGCTGGTGGCAATCTACGACAGTTCACTTCTTTTGGCATAGCGAAGATTTTGTCTTGTTGCCTGCACTTTTTAACCACCCCTGCAAATAAAATGCACCTGCTGTTACCCATGTATCGTAAGAGGCGACTAATGAAGGAAGCCCTGCATATTTGGGGATTCACTTTTGTGCCCTCTAACATGGGACACAAAAGCGATCAAAATAAAGCTGCTGACTCATTGCAACATATGGGATCTTTACGTTTCTTCCTTCTTCCGTCTGTCTTTTATTTTCTTTGGTTCTTGCTTGGTAATACCTCGCTTCAAGCTTTAATGTTAAGCGTTTGCCCAGTCAAGGAAGGCAATTAGTGCTGTAGTAGTTGTTAATCCCTGCTTAACGTTCAGCATTTAGGGTAATGGCAACAACTGGTTCACACGTTGCCAGTATAATGTGACCGGGCGCAATGTCGTTGCTGAATGCCTTCGGCATGGTAATTCAGTTTGATAGCACTCTAAAGTTCGCATCATATCTGCACTGTCATAAGGAGGCAAGTAAACCAATATACCCTGTCTCTGGCACACATACACACATGCGAGCATACACAACACACACGGAGAAACGTCCTTAAATGACCTTAGCTGTTAATAGGAGGTTAAACAAAACAAAACAAAACAAAACCAGTTCAAAACACTGGGAATTTCCCTACTGATGTGCCTCCTCACACCCTTCTCCCTACAATACAGTCAACTCTATCAAAATGATGAAGTTTTGATATGTTGAGCACGGTATTGCATCCGGTCTCGGAGTTGTCTCGACTTTTGATTGAAAACTAGTTTCTGCAGAACCACTATCATCCCCCATGGTGTCCCGCCTTAGAGGTTTGATGTTTGTGCTGTTGTAGACTTTGAATTCTAGCCTGCCTGTGTAAGCTGTGTGCTGTTGTAGACTTTTTAATTCTAGCCTGCCTGTGTAAACTGTGGGCTGAGGCTTCTTTGTTGTTGGTCTCTGCCTTCTCCGCTCCTTTTCCAGAGAACTAACCAGTTCCTGAAGGATTTGCCTTATCGCAAATGGTATATGACCTTTTCAAGTGTTGTCACGAACATTCTAACTTAACAATCAAACAGAATGTAGCCATTGGTTCACGTTTTTTGCCACCAAGTTTACACTTCGGAAGTTCCAACAGTCCCTACTCCAACAAGTTGACTGGAGACGGAAGGGCATCTCAAACAGACCTCAGAAGGAATGAAATACGAAACGATCCCATTCTCTACATTTCTCATTAAATAGACCGTCTTTCTGGCCGAATTCATCTTGTTATGAAACCCTGAATGTGTTCGCGTCTTCTCTTTTCTCTGATTTCCTCTTGAATCATATACCTTCTACTGTACTCTACACATTGATTAATGACTGTTGCCTAAGTTGAGAAGCACGTTCTTCGTGTCTTCGGCACGTCTGAACAGTCGTAGTTGCTGACTGTTTTCTTTCTGGTCTCTTGTCATCCTGGGAATCACTCAAGACCATGACTAGTCCGCACTCTCCTCCATTTGTAATGTAAACGACAGCTGTAGTTCTGACCTATGACTACATAAACCAATGGATGTGATTCTTTCCGGTACCTCTAACCATGTACGAAGATGGGAGTTGATTCTGTAGCATCCCAACCTCGGTTTACGCCTCGGTTTACGCCTCGGTTTGGATTTTGTTACATAATCTTAACCCTCGACCGAGATAACCCGATCTCGCTCAGTTACAGGTAAAATATTTTATTAATCTGATGCTGTTTTCAGGCGAGCCGTGACAAAGCCTGTCAAGGCCTGTATGAACGTTTTCATGTCCGCCAGGATTTATACAGTTGACAAACCGATTGTTCCGCATGAACAATGAAATTGAATAATATTCATAATAATCAAATATATTTTATCTGCATAGTTGATACATACTATCTGACGGTACTGAATTACGATATGACAGTTGGTTGCATTTTTAATGACTGCTAATACAACGACCCGCCATGACAAAATATATAGAGTATGACAAAGTTGTCAACACAGACGCAATGCAAACCGACTGTCGACGGGGAAGTACACAGAATGAACGACAGGACATTTGACAGCTCAGTGTTTCCGACTGACCAACAGTGGTCATGGATGGTCGTATCATGTAAGTAATACTCCGTTAGTTTCATGTTCTGTATAATAATTCATAGGGATTGAATGGTTTGAATAGCAGTAGCTGATCTAAATAGCATGTGGAACGCGTTAGCGCTACTCTGAAGATAGGTAGATCAGCTGCTGCTATTCATTGACGCAATGTACATGAACAAAAAATCCATTCAATTCATATATTTACGTTACGGTGAACTACAATAAAAAAAAGTTATCATACTTTTTGTACATTTACTATTTTTGATATTAGCATCAGACAGAAAACCATAAAAAGGGAACAGCAGAACCCAGCCTACGCACAAACTTCGAATGTTCGACTCCGCCGATCAGCTGATTTTGTTGAAACGTAAACATATATCTAGAATCTAATAATAATCAACACTTTATATTCTTTTCATTTTTGAAAGTTGATTTTATATGATGTTGGTGTTTTTTTGCATTAAACACTGCATATAATATAATTAAAAAAGTTTATGTCGGCACTATTTCAAATCATCGGTCACCATAGTAACCATCCAGGACACTCGTCAGCCGAGCACCCGTCGACAGCCGGCATAGAGCTCATTTGAAGTGAAATGTACAGCCGCTGAATGTATTGTTTACCAAAAAACCTGCAGATGTAAATGATGATAAGTTAGTTGATGAAGTGCCCTGTGTCATTACAAAGTTCTCTTAGTTTAATGTGCAAGTTGATGTCACGGATAGTACCCAGCCGGACGTTTGGGTATTAGAAAGTTCGTGACCATGAGGAACCGATTGCGAGTCGGAAATCAGTATTTGATGTGACAATGTTATAAAAAAAAAAAAAAAAAATAGATTACAAAGAATATCAAAAATAGTACAATGGTGCACCATTTTCGATTTTCGTAATGTTTATTCTTATTTCTCGCAACTACGTTATCTCGGGGAAGGGGAGATAGCTCGTCTCAGAAACGGTACTATGCGTAGTAATATGATTTGTCATTGTGTTTGAAAACAGCTGACTGGTTAAACGAGAATCGTTGTATTCATAGTGTATTCATGGTCTTATGGCAGTGGTTTTCAGTTGGTATATTCATGTACATAACTTATACATGGTTTATCGTTGAATAATTCTTGGTTTTTAACCAATGAAAATTGTCGTTACATCGAAACGTGATAGAATAGAAGACAGTTCACATGGGGAAAAATCAGGATTGCTATAGGAGTCCCCAAATAAGGGAATCTAAACCACAAATGTCCGAGTCCTGCACCACAAGTGACAACCTCATGATGTATCCCGTTCCGTAATGTGACACCCATCATGATGTATCGCGTTTCCACATGTGATAACCCTCATGATGTATCCCGTTTCGTAATGTGACACACATCATGATGTATCCCGTTCCGTAATGTGAGACTCATCATGATGTATCGCGTTCACACATGTGACAACCCTCATGATGTATCCCGTTTCGTAATGTGACACACATCATGATGTATCCCGTTCCGTAATGTGACAACCACCATGATGTATCCCGTTCCCACATGTGACAACCATCATGATGTAACCCGTTCCGTAATGTGACAACCATCATGATGTATCCCGTTCCCACATGAGACAACCATCATGATGTATCCCGTTCCGTAATGTGACACGCATCATGATTATCGCGTTCCCACATGTGACAACCCTCATGATGTATCCCGTTCCGTAATGTGACAACCACCATGCTGTATCCCGTTCCCACATGTGACAACCATCATGATGTATTCCGTTCCGACATGTGACGCCCATCATGATGTTTCCCGTTCCGTAATGTGACAACCATCCTGATGTATCCCGTTCCCACATGAGACAACCATCATGATGTATCCCGTTCCCACATGATACAACCATCATGATGTATCCCGTTCCGTAATGTGACAACCATCATGATGTATCCCGTTTCCACATGGGACAACCCTCATGATGTATCCCGTTCCGTAATGTGACAACCACCATGATGGATCCCGTTCCCACATGTGACAACCATCATGATGTAACCCATTCCGTAATGTGACAACCATCATGATGTATCCCGTTCCGTAATGCGACACCCATCATGATTATCGCGTTCCCACATGTGACAACCCTCATGATGTATCCCGTTCCGTAATGTGACACTCATCATGATGTATCCCGTTCCGTAATGTGACAACCACCATGAGGTATCCCGTTCCCACATGTGACAACCATCATGATGTATTCCGTTCCGACATGTGACGCCCATCATGATGTTTCCCGTTCCGTAATGTGACACCCATCATGATGTATCCCGTTCCGTTATGTGACAACCATCATGATGTATCCCGTTCCCAAATGAGACAATCATCATGATGTATCCCGTTCCGTAATGTGACACGCATCATGATTATCGCGTTCCCACATGTGACAACCCTCATGATGTATCCCGTTTCCGCATGTGACGCCCATCATGATGTTTCCCGTTCCGTAATGTGACACACATCATGATGTATCCCGTTCCGTATTGTGACAACCACCATGATGTATCCCGTTCCCACATGTGACAACCATCATGATGTATCCCGTTCCGTAATGTGACAACCACCATGATGTATCCCGTTTCCACATGTGACAACCCTCATGATGTATCCCGTTTCCACATGTGACGCCCATCATGATGTTTCCCGTTCCGTAATGTGACAACCATCATGATGTATCCCGTTGCCACATGTGACAACCCTCATGATGTATCCCGTTTCCACATGTGACGCCCATCATGATGTTTCCCGTTCCGTAATGTGACACCCATCATGATGTATTGCGTTCCGTAATGTGACACTAATCATGATGTATCCCGTTCCGTAATGTGACAACCATCATGATGTAGCCCGTTCCGTAATGTGACTCCCATCATGATGTATTGCTTTCCGTAATGTGACACTAATCATGATGTATCCCGTTCACCATGATGTATCCCGTTCCCACATGATACAACCATCATGATGTATCCCATTCCCACATGTGACAACCATCATGATGTATCCCATTCCCACATGTGACAACCATCATGATGTAACCCGTTCCGTAATGTGACAACCATCATGATGTATCCCGTTCCGTAATGTGACAACCCTCATGATGTATCCCGTTCCCACATGTGACACCCATCATGTTACATATGGTACATCCGTCACTTTGCCATCAGACACATGCGAATAAATGCATCCAAAAGGTTTATCAATATCAAAAATACATTACCCTCTTCTCTGAAGCCAAAGTGCACCGTTCGCTCTTTGAACTGCAATAATAGCACGCCGTTCGTTTTCATTGTTTTGCAGTCAGGGAGCATCACTGTGATCTTTGTACTACAGTTGGTGAAAACCTTTCGTTTACTAAATTGTTATATACATACACGATTCCTTTTGAATTCGTTCCAGGCTGCTTCGGTGTGTGTGCCCTTGTTGTGGGGACTGTGAAATCATTTGGCGTCATTTTAGTGGAATTGTCCCGTCGGTTCAATGTTCCGGCTAGCGTACTGATCGGTCCGCAGTGTCTAGCCGGCTTCTTCCATCTGTCACTAGGTAAGTACGGCAATAACACAGGGTGTAGAGAATAATTAACGTCGAATGAGTGACGAGAGTAAACAAATAATGATTACGAAACGTTTCATAGGTTGTTAAATGAAAATGGAGATTAGATGGTGGTATAACTAGTCTCTACAGGGACCCCTAAATTAGTCGCCTCGAGGGGTGGGCACAGACAGTGGGCAAACGGTCCTTCCAATAATAGGAAGTTGACAGATACAGATAAATAATAAGAGGATATCCAAGAAGTTGGTTGAACCAAAGGGAAGTAACTGATGTCACCATGTTCCTAGCCGGAACTTAGAGT